ATCTTTCCCTGAGACACATGCAAAGGGAGTGATTTGCAAAGCCTCAGCTAGTGTAATTAAAAGCCAAAAGCAGCTGACCCGAAAAGCAACAGTGAAAAACACAGTGAATTGTTAAACATAAATTACTCCATAATTAAGTCAAATTGCTTCATAACAAAACTACATCTTTCTCTCATCCATTATGTGGACAAAAATCGTACTGAGGGAGTTTACATGTGGCATATTCTTCCACTAAGAAGTTCATAACTCTGTGAAGATAGTATCACAGGAAAAAAAGGTTTAAGTAGGCTTAGATTCAAGCACTGGTCCCAGGGAAGTGATGCATTCAGGGTACGTCCGTGTGAGGTACCTGATCCAGCCTGTGAAAGTGATAGTTCTGCTCCCCTCCTCACCGCCTCAACCTCTCCCCATCCCACTCCCTGTTTGTTGCAAAAAGTGCCCATTCACATCAGCCCCTTCATCCAGGCACATCATCAGTAATTAGAAAGCAGGCAGGTTGGACATTTCTTGGAGGCGTAACTGGCCAGACCTTCAGAGCTGTTGCAAAGCTTTCGGTATTAGAAGGGCTGCACAAAGTTACAGCAGTTCAAGATACGGACCACAGAGGTCAAAGAGCCAGATGAACTACAGGCAAGTGTCATACTGCTAAACTTCACCAGGATTTCTGTGAGTTAACCTGGACCTTCCTTACGTTTGCCCAAGGAGTCACCTCTAGTCACAGTATCATGAAAGCCAGCATAGTTGCACTGCGTGAGTTTTGGGAAATAACTTCTCCTTGTTCCTCAACACACGAGCCCACTCCTGATAAGGAGAAAGGGGCTGCTTGTAGTTACTATTTTTTTTTCCATCATGGACCTTCTTCTGCCCACTCTGCTGCTGGCCACAGCCAAGGGACTAAGCACCCGCAGGTGTGACCAGTCTGCACCTTCTACACTCCCAGTATGATGGAGAAGACACCAAACAATGATAATACTCCCTGCCCAGCATCAGAACCTTGACTCATAATACCCAGGTTTTCTAATGTCCTAGAAGAGAGAAGAAACCTAAAATCACTGCTAGAAAAATGTAAAAAAAAAAGAACATTAATGTTTGATAGTCCTTCCTGGTCAAAAAAGTAAAAAATAATATTGCTGCAAATAGGTTTGATTCCAGTTCTCCTTCTTGTCCATTCAGTAGGCCTGAGAAACAACAGAGGAATCCCACAAACAGCCAAGGGTGACCAAGAAGACAACAGGCTGGGTTTCTGTTTGTCTTTCTTCAGATTTTGAACAAGGGCAACAGAAACCACTGGTTCTCAGGTTAAATTGCCTTGTCTCACAAACTGACTGTGGAGTACAGGCTCCTGAGAGGGAAACAGGAATATAAACCAAACCACCCTGGCTGGCCCATGCAGCTCTGTCAGGGTCTCCTCCGGGAGATCATAAGAGCTTTCAACTGCACTTCAACAGAAAAGGGACTGTAGCAGAAATTGTCTGCTACTGTTGAACAATTCAGCTTATACAGCTATGTTTAGTTTTATAACACTGTCTTTTCCTCGCTTTCTTGCTTCACTTTATGTGAGCGGGGTAATCACAGCAATAAAGTCACTGTCATCAGTGCAGTTTATTAGCCCTTAAAGTGTTAGTGACACCAGTCTGCCCCATACGGAGCAGCCACACTGCAGAAACGAGTGCTTGATAGACTCCAGCATCTTCCACAGAGTAACCCCTTGGCCTTGATCACTGCAGGTGTCCGTGTAAGGCAGTGGTGGCATCTTTTGGATATTCATCTCCAAGAAGACAAAGTGCTTTTTCTATTGCCCTTCAACAATGTGTGTTTCTTTGGTGCTTTGGCTGTCAGTGAATGGAATCACAGAATCACAGAATGGTCAGTGTTGGAAGGGACCTCTGGAGATCATCTAGTCCAAGCCCTATGCCAGAGCAGGGTCACCTACAACAGGTTGCACAGGACAGCGTCCAGGCGGGTTTTGAATATCTCCAGAGTCAGAGACTCCACAACCTCTCTGGGCAGCCTGTTCCAGTGCTCTGCCACCCTCAAAGTAAAGAAGTTCCTCCTCATGTTGAGATGGAACTTCCTATGTTCAAGTTTGTGCCCGTTACCTCTTGTCCTATCACCGGGCACCACTGAAAAAAAGACTGTTCCCATCTACCTGGCACCCTACCTTTAAGTATTTATAAGTATTGATAAGATTATCATTAATAAGATTGCACACCTTATCCAGCAGTTTTCTTGCAATACCAGCAGTGCTGCCCGGGACGGGGGGACGCTCAGCTTCTGGCATCTCCGCTCACAGCTGGAGCTCAAGGGAAATAGGGCAGCTCTGCTGCTGCCCAAGATGTGCTGAGGCAGTCTCCACCTTTCCCCAGCACCAACTTGTTTCCTAGCCATTTATGTCATCTGCCCCCCAGCAATCCTGAGCTGCAAACCACCCAGTAAACCAGACAGCTTTCCGGAGAAAATGACTGACGTCCTCTGAAGAGAGCTAGGGATTCCACAGACAGGTTTTCAAAGTCCCAAACAAGCTTGCAGATGAAACCTGGTTAGATTTTATCACAGGCGAGAGGAAAGTGGACACTGAACTTCTGTCAGATTGTATTCGAAGGTTCGTTCCAGGAATAGAGCTACACACATTTTTTATAATAATTATTATTATTTCATTTTTAATCATATCCTGCTCTCTGAAATTTCTGGCTGCTTTCTGACAGCTCAGTGTTGTTATTTAGCCTCCTACCCATCCTGTCCCAAACAGAAGATCTGTAATTGTCTGTGTTCCTGTGAAATAAGGTTAAGTCACACAGGAAGGTCACACAAGAAACCTAGAGCAAAATAGGAAATGTAACTGGATCTTCGTTCCTCTCTTGACCATCAGAAAATCCAAACTGAAACTTGCAATTTCAGAGAACAACTCAGTTTCACAGTCCTTATGCACTATATGTGCTTTCAGTGTTCAGTAGAACCAGATGTTTTGCACCGGCCTCTGCTGTCAGTTACTATGGCACAAATCTGTGCTAACTTCACCAGCTGCAGGTAAATTACTCAATTAAATGTTCTTTATATTTTCACTAAAATGCTAATGGCCTTTGCACCTGCTTGCAGAATTTAGCTGGAAAATGTATCTTAAAATTAGTTAACAAGCTCCACAGTGGGAATTAACTGCATCCACATTAATAGCATGCTGACACGTGGTTCCCAGAAGCCCATGTGTTTTTTGGATGGAAAGACTTCTGGAGGTCACCAAGTCCAACCTCCTTCCTCCTCAAAGCCAGGCTGTTGGCTAACACTGGTTCAGAACAACCTGAGCTACATCATTTACAGTTTTTTTTGCATATAGACCATTGTTCTGCATCCCAGGGGTGTAGAACAGACGACTTTTCATTGACTTCACTGACTTATCTGGTCTGGGGTGGGGGCAAATATAAACCTTGTTTAATATGTGTAAAAGGGATATATTGTGGGAGTTGTATGTTGATTCTCTGAAGCTACCTGCGGTCGTAGCGTCGGAGAAACTCAGGGCACTAATGAAGCTTGGGTAGATGTTGCACCTAAAGCGTGCCATGAACTGAAGGCAGTGAGTGGAGAAATGCTGACTCCATAGCATCTCACATGGACAAGCGATGAATATGAGCATTTATGTTATAGAGAGAGCTCAGAGAGATCTCAGAAAAGAGGGCTGGAAAGGGATGCAAAGAAAAAGTACTTGTATAAATCTCTCTCCCCGATGGCTGCGTAGGGAGCTTCAGCTCTTCACTCGGTGCACTCTGAATCACACCTCAGGAAAACACCTCGCAGCTTGAACAAGGTGGACGTGTGTAACACCCCCAGTGCATCCCCCTCTCTCCAGGAAGGATCGAGTGTCCTTTCAGATGAAGGCACAAGCTGTTTGTGTGGTCTTTGCCTTTCACTCTGAGTTTAAGCCCGCTTACAGCTCAGAGCGCTGCCCTTCCGCACGTCACCAGCCGACTAGAAAGCCTCTACCATCAGGTCCCGAGATGTAAACAATGAGCACATCGCCAGCCCAAACTATGCACCGGGAAACCAGAAAGCACTGCTTTTATCTTGTGGGGCGGCATTTATTCTTCTTGATCTAATAACTTGTCATCAATGAAATGAGCTAAAAAATGAGTTTCATAATCCTTTATCGGTCCATAAAATGTACTTCAAGGTTTAGGAGAGACAAATGCTAATGCTGCCGTCCCTCTAGCCATCAATAAAAATGCAAAATACAGTTTGAAAAAGAATAGCTAGGCCAAACTCTTGCCAACAAGAGAAATCCTTGCAGAGGCGGGAACAGTTAGCCTTAGAGACAGTGTACAGGTCTCTGTAGTTTCAGTGTCTGATGTCAGGGGGTGGAAGCCTGGTGTGTGGCTCACGGCACCACAGACTCCATTCTCGCTGGAGAGGGACATAAAGCTTTCACGTCGTACACTTCACAAGCTTGTGTTAGGGCTCAGAAAGGCTGATAAAGTTTAAAATTGCTGGTTACTGCTCTCCCAGGCTGCTACCCAACTGAAAAATGTACTTAGGACAACCGTGCCCATCTATGGTACCCAAAATTAACAACTAAAAGGAAGACAGATGCAAAATAAGAGCTCAGCAAATGTATTTAATTCTAACACAAGAGTTGCCATGTCCCCAGTAATGTTTTTTACCATAGTATATTACCATCTGCCAGCTTCTTGTATGATTTGAAGGATAAACTCAGCCTTTTCTAGATTCAATAAAAAGCTGAACTAAAATGTTAATTTCAGAGAAATGCAGATGAGGGAATTAATCTAACCCTGCTCCTGCTGCGCTGTCTTATACATACAAAACCAAATGGTGCCATGTTTCAGGTGCTTTGAAGGGTGAGAATCTTCAGGAGAACATTAAAAAGATAAGAAATAACAATGTATTCCTTAAAATGTTGAGCTGGTGTCACTTCAACATGAAACGGAGGGCCTGAATCATTGCCCACTATCACGGATAATGCCTAACGAGGGTTTCTCTCTACTTCATTTCAGAACCACGACCGCACGTGCATCGCATGCAGAATCATCTACCGGTCGGACGAGCACCATCCTCCCATCTTACCCCCCAAGGCGGATCTGACTATAGGGCTACACGGAGAGTGGGTGAGCCAGCGCTGTGAGGTGCGGCCGGAGGTCCTCTTCCTCACTCGGCACTTCATCTTCCATGACAACAACAACACCTGGGAAGGTCACTACTACCACTACTCCGACCCCATCTGCAAGCACCCCACCTTCACCATCTACGCCAAGGGACGCTACAGCCGGGGAGTGCACTCGTCCAAAGTGATGGGTGGCACGGAGTTTGTGTTCAAAGGTAGAGCGGCTCGCTACGCTGGGGGTGGAGGTGGTCATGTAGTTATGGACCAGAGCAGAGTTCTCTCATAATGATTTGGTTGATGATGATTTCATTCTGCCGTTTTGAGGAGTTAGTCATTCCTTGGGAGGTTCGCAGGCGTTGTGTGAATGCCCAGCCAAACTATACAGCTGCACAGCATTTCACACCACTGAAGCAATACTCGTCTGAGGCAGAGATCTTTAAGTACAGCACAAGAAAATAAGAATTCACACCACTCAGTCTTGGACTCTAGACTCCAAGTATCCTAGCAAAGTGTCTGAGATTAGATCTGTGTCCTAGAGGTCCTTCACAGAGAGTAGAAAGCGTTTCAGGTCAGAAGGGGTGTAAGTCGTCTTCTGTCAAAGGCAGATGTAGCAGCATATGTCTTTTCATCAGCTTCCAAGGGGCCCTAGAGCAAGTAAGGATGTCCCTAAAGGCAGCTCTGATTAATCCCCCCACAGTGAATACTAGATGTATCTAACCAAAACCCCTCAAATACTTTGGGAAGCAGCGCTCAGTGGTGACACCACCCGGGTCCCTGCGGCTGAGAAGCCCTCCTGGGCAAACAGCCCCATAGCACCCTGCTTATAAAGAGCTCAGTGGCTTTAACCACTCACACAAACAGACATCTCCAAAACACGATGTCCCGCCACGACGCCAGCCCCAGTGGAGCCTCTGCAAGCCCCAAGCACTCTGCGGGCTCTTCTGATTATTTCAGTTTCCATGTGAGAAGCATATAGCTTCTTGTATGGCTCCAATTTAGGAAAGCATCTAACTATAAGAAATAACTTACTAATCTGGAGTTTTCATAGGAGGCAGGAGATAATACCCTTGCCTGTCAGAGATTTTGCTCTTTACAGCTGCATGCAACATGTCCCAGCTCAGCTCCTGGGGTGAAATCCAGTTTTTGCTTAATTTCTAGTTTATGGTATGCCAGCTTTCCTGGAACCATTCAAGGTCAGGTTGGACGGGGCTCTGGGCAACCTGATCTAGTTGAAGATGTCCCTGTCCATTGCAGGGGGGTTGGACTAGATGACCTTTAAAGGTCCCTTCCAACCCAAACTGTTCTGATTTTATATCACTTACCTCACAGATTGAGGTCACTCATTCGGTCTTGGTAAAACTTTTAGGTTCACTTCCTATAGATTACTTTTTACACCAGCTAGGACAAATAATGTGAACTGTAGAGCCATTGAGTTGAAAATCTGTTTATAAAACCTCAGAATAAAACAAATCTTACTATAAAAAGACACACATGCTGTAAATGACCTGCAGGAACATTCAGGGGTTTGGTGTGTTGGGAGGCATGAGAGCTGGTTATTTCCCTCTGTTTTGGTCAGCATCGATCTATTCAGACTCCCTTTTCTTGATATACAGCGTCAAACACACCAGGAAAAATCTCTATTCAGCTTCCATAAGCTCATTCAATTTGGCTTTTCCCAACTTTTAAAATTCAGATGAAAAATGAAGCTTTTATGTGCCTTAAGCTCCTTTGAACAACTGGGAACGGCAGAAGCTGCAGCACTTCTACGTTTGATACTGCAAGCTGCAGCCACTGTTTAGGTATGACAAAAAGCATGTCTCTGTAGCTCAGCAGTACTTTATAATTCATGCAAAAAAGGACAGGTAATATAGGAAGACAGTGCAGCTGTGGCACTAATTATTTCATTAGCTTTACAGGGTAACGTGTTAAATAAATGATGAAAAATACATTATAAGTAGCCCACCTTATCGATTAATATGGATGGTAGTAAAACATGAGTAAAGTTTCCTCTTTTACTTATCTTCTAGTATAACCAACCAGGCTTTATCTGTAAAGGATTGTCTGGAATTTATGAAAAGCTATGCTTATCTCTGTGATATGTGGCCATCAGGTTTTCTTCAATTGAGTTCATGTGTGTGTTCTGTGCAAAAAGTAATTAGATCAAAGACTTAAAATGGTACAAACAGATTTGCTGGCCGCATCTGCAATATAAAAAAGACTGATTTAAGAATGAATAAGGAGAGACAATTCTGATTTCACAGGTTCACCCCATTCCACACGTTGTCTTTGCTTTTGTTTTTGTCCCTGTGCTAAGAGCTCCTCTCTTCCTCTCTCGCAGTGAATCACATGAAGGTCACTCCCATGGATCTATCCACAGCCTCTCTGCTCAACGTCTTCAACGGGAATGAGTGTGGAGCACAGGGGTCCTGGCAAGTTGGGGTTCAGCAAGACGTCACCCACACGAACGGCTGCATCGCACTCGGCATCCGCCTACCTCACACCGAGTACGAAATCTTCAAAATGGAGCAGGATGCCCGGGGCAGGTACTTGCTGTACAACGGCCAGAGACCGAGCGACGGGTCCAGCCCCGACCGACCAGAGAAGAGAGCCACTTCCTACCAGATGCCTTTAATTCAGTGCGCTTCATCCGTACCCAGATCTGAAGAGTCACCAGAGGAGAATAAAATAAGGCTGTACAGCAGCAGGGCACCGGAAAAATACCCCAGCGCACCAGCTCTTGCTTTGGTGTTGTTTATTTGTACTGTGTCATATTGGGACATTCTCAGCTAGAAGTGAAAAAAACCCTTATTCTTCATGACTACAAAGCCAGGATTCCACCAGACTGGGGGTTGTTTTTCTTCTGAAAGAAAGGGACATTTATTTTCTTGATGCACTTGAATGCCTGAGAACTGTTGTTCTTTTCCTTACTTCCCCCCTCCTCCTCGAATCCCAAACGGCACTCGTTTGATGTTTGTGCTTTGAACTTCATCCAGTCTGATCCCTGGCCTGACATGACTGCACAAAAGTAATTGCACTTTAGGACTGCAGACTTTTGGGGGGAGGGAGGGGGTCTCCTTTTATTATTATTTTTTAACTGCTGGGGTGAACGTTATGATCCTGCTTCAGTCGTCTCTGCCATCTTACCATTGTGGTACTCTTCTCCCCGGCGCCCGGTTTCTCATCGGAATATCGCTCTGGGGAAGGGCTCGGTGTTGTGCCAGTACTGTGATAGCAGCTTCCCCCTCTGACTTCACAGCTCTGATGTAGATATGTATATAAGGAGGAAACCCACAAAGATTTATCTTGTCATTATCTCACAGCTCAGCTCGTAACACAAAAAGACAAAGCAAATCAACAGCCCTCCGGCCAGATAGTGCTAAACAGTGGATACTTCTAATTAAAAAATATTCCAAGTAATTTAAGCTATTTTTACAATCATTAAGTTGTAAAAATAACCAGTGATTTAATATTTTCTCATTCAATTTCCTTAGCTATGTAATTGCTTCGAGGCTTCCCTTTCTATCTAGCGAGTAGTCACAAGCAAGCCCCCTTAGAGCCAGACAGAAGCAGCATTTTTCTGTGGGGTGCACACAGTACAGGTAAGTTGCCAATACAAGGCTGCAGCGACTTCTTCTGTTCTCATATTCCTGAGGCCTTAACGTACCCCACGTGCAGTGTTTGTGCCTTGGATTTTGTGTCAGCCAGGTAGGCAAAGTAAAGCAGCAAGTGGGGTCTAACATGTTCTTGCAACCCTATTTAGCAGCGTATTTTTGGTGATGTGACCTCACATAGGAACAAGGAAAGGGTTGCAGCAGCAAGGACGCCAAGGTCCCCAGTATCGCTTGTAGTTCAGAGAGCGAGAAAGCGGCTGGAAACAGGCCCTCAACCATCACATGGAGGGAGACTGGCCCAGTCTTACCAGAGGGAGGAGCAAGAGCTGCACAAATGCAGCCACATCCTCCTTTTTCTTCTTGCTGGACCATCACAACACACATACCATGGTTTCACTGAGCTTAAATCAGCATTGGTTTGGGGAGACACTGCTGGGAAGGTGGATAGGCACAGCCCTCAGAGAGCATTCTTCAACAAGAGCCTGTCCTGGAAGCCCTCGGGTTTCTCCCGGTTGCAAACAGATCCTCGTGTGCACACTGATGTGAATCAGAGCAGACTGGAGAAGCAGCAGGGGAGGTATTTAAGGCCAGCAAGGAGGTACAAGTTCATGGATGAACCACGCTGCCCCACTTTAATAGGGAGTGAGCTGAGGGCACAGCTTAACCTTGCAGCATTTGGACTGTGGCCTTTACTGACACACGTTTTGGCTCACAGGAGGAGCAGGAACCAGTGTAAGAAACAGAAGGAGTAAGGTCATAGCATTTCTTCATCAGTATCAGCAGCTTCTAGCTGCCCAGTCCAGTACTATGTGAGAAAAAAAAGTCTTTAATGGTTATTTTCAGCATCATAAGAAAAGCGTGTCTTGAATGAAGGTCTTCCAGCTTTACGTAGGCGAGTCTCCCTACTGCGTGCTATAGCAAAAGCATTATTTGAAAACACAGTGATAGCATGGACCTTGCTACCAAAAAAAGCAGGAAAAAGCCATTCAAGTAGCAAATAGCTACACTCAGGCTCCCCACCTCCTCAAAGTCCGTGCCTTCTTGACAGTTTTTCTAAGCTGGTATCAGCCTTGGATGGAAGTTTCCTCCGAGTGGGGACAAAACTCCTTCACCTGGTTTTAAGACAGCAGGAGGAAGGGGGGAAGGAACAATCATAGACTCTCACTGCCAGGTCAGATCACATCTTTAACATTTTTTCCTCAAACAGATGAAAAGTCACAGAAAACTCACTAGGAGTCAGGAACAGAGTTCAGGCTGGCTCAGTAGTCACCTGAGAAACTGTTCATCCATCCATCTGATATCAGCTCCTCCTTCAGACTGCTGGAAGGAGCTGAAAGCCAACTCAGCCACGATGAATCAAGCCCTATGAACAACAGTGGCTCTGATCAGCATTTCTTGATAATTTTCTGCTCCACACAGTCAAACCTACTTGAAGAGTCAGTTCAGGGTCCATTGCTGGTCGGGAGGCATCAGGAGTTGTTTTAACTAGAGGGTCAAGAAGGAGACACGATGCCTCTGAAAGGGAAGCTAGGAACCAGGATGGTTTCTTTCTATCTAGCTAGACTTGAGTTCTGTATTCAGCAGATTGACACCAGCCTATCTCCAACTCAGTTACTGAGCTACTGCAATCAAACAAGTCCCTTAAATACTAGCTTTGTTTCTGACTTCTGTTTGAAACGTAGCGGCATGAGTGAATGCAGGTTAGTTTTTATTTACGAGGATGGGAATGGTGTGATGTTCCTTCAATCACACAAGACAACCATCTTCCACCACCATCGACTATCCCCACATTAGGTGGTCCTACCTCTGGAAAAATATCAATGGAGTAGGAGTTGTCAGACCCTGTTCCTTCCCTATGCAGGTGCAACGCACAACTCAGTCCCAGCTGACATCTGCATGTGCTTGTGATGCAGGACTGAAGCAGAGAGCAAAGGGAGCGCTCCGCCGCATGGTGTTCTATACTTGTCAGGGCAATGATCTACAATTTATTAGTGCTTCGTGGCTCCTCTGTAAATTGCCTAATGGCAGAAATATTACAACAGTTGCAAGAGAAAGACCTGTCTAGTTCTTACCTCTGAAAAGCACGTTCATGTCTCAACTGTCTTCTAAATCACAGACTTGCAAAGATCTAGGTTTTCCAAGGCTTTACTGTTACACTAAATGCAAACATGACACAGTGTACAAATTGTACAAGAACTGCATTCTTTTATCTGTCACCTAGAGATAGTTAAAAAGGAAGCACTTGAAAAAGGCCTTCATAATGCATGGCCAGAAATATTTTGGGACTTCTCTAGTTGATTTGTAGTGTTGACCAGAAACATGATTTTATGATCTGGGTTCTTAGCATATGCTGCACCAGCTTCCCTTTTTGTGCCTATATATTTTTTCCTTATTTTTCTATTAGCCAATAGAAGCTAAGTTGGACAAAAATATAAGTAGGTCTTCAGAGTGCATAGTTTATTTGCCTATCCATGTTCTCTGCAAGATTTCTCCTAGGTTACAGGCATAGAACTAGGAGCTAAGCTTCCTTGATCTTTTGGTTTCATCACGCACTAAATTAACTGGTGAACAGCACCATATGCACTTGTGATGCAATATATTCCACTCATTTTATTTCTCCAACCTGAACCTCACGTGCTGGCAGCCCTGGCTGCTAAAGGAGTTAAGCCGCAAGTGGTTTAGCAGTGGAAGATCTACAAACTGAGTAATTTGTCCCATACTGAAGCACCCAAGTTTTGAAAAGTGAAACAATTCACAATGATATCTTCAATAACTGCCAATGCTGCCAGGACAGGTGAAAATTTTTCCCTCAGCACCACTGTCATATCCTACTCAAGGAGCCACCCGATAGAAGAAATGGTAACCCGATAGAAGTTCTTGCACAAATTGTTTTAACAGGTTCTATTTAAGAAAAAAGGACAAAAGGGATCAGAAAAATCAAAACAAGTGTTCTTGCTCTGTTTCTGTACCGTTTACATATTGTGCCTGCTGCCCTGGGGTAGAATGTCATTTTTATGAACAGAAGTCCGTATTTTAAGATATAATGTCTGTCTTGCTTGAGTTGGAGTGTGCTTGCTTAAAGTGCAGGGTTTTTTTTAAAAAAAAAATCTTTTTATTTTTGTAAAGTTATAGAAGATATTTTTCTTCTCAACTATGTTCCAGAATAAACTACCGGGGAAGTTTAAGCACTTGTGAAACTATTGATTGAAATAAAAAAAAAAAGCCTAACTGAAAAAATAAGGATTTGTCTGCATCCTATACATGCTAGCTTTCTGTTCTGTTGACTTTCCACCTGTAAAAAATCAGATATCTCAGAAAGCGATAACTAAAAATCCCTCAGTTGAGCAACCTGTGCACAGAAAACCTCATTTCTTATTATATACACAAGAAAACATTTTTCCCTGAGAGCATGTCACTAGAAACAGCTCTGATGGATACAGCTGGGATGCTTTGGGTTTCCCAGCACATCTTCAGGTTCTCTGAATAAAAGGTGGGCTGGAAGCGCCCAGCAAGTAATGACAGCGCCGGCTTGCAAGGAGAGTAGGGTCAGAGCAGCTGGGTCAGGACAAAGGGTGTGTTGTCAAAAGAAACCAAATATTTTTCGTAAGTGAGCTGTAAGCAAACAGAAGAGCATTACTGCTCTGCCATTCCATCTCACTTGCTCAAAGGGCTACAGCCTGGAGGGGGAGCAGGGAGGGATTAGAAAGGACACTTCTCTTAAAGAGGAAGAAAAACCTGACATGAACTGAGAAGGGAAAGCAAGCCACAGGATGAGGAAAGCATCTTTCCTCAGTGCTGCTCGTTTTCACTCCTGCCTCACCTGCACAAACAAAGACGACCTGAAATGCAGTCAATGCGACTACCACCACCACTACCAAAAACTTTGGAGTTAACTAATTTCTGAGTTTTCAGAAGTGACTCAGGAGATCCCTGAAAGATGAGCTTGATTTTCGGGAAGCATGCCTTAAACTACAAGGCGCTCTGAATGCAGTAGCCACAGCTTGTGAAGAAGTGGCCTCGCTTCCACACACAGCTGGATGTATGGATTAATTCAGGCATAAACAGATTCTACATGGCATAGTTTACCCCCTCCTGACCCAAAAGGGAAGGCTAGGTAATAAAAAACAGCACCATCCCTTTGAATTTTATAGTTTCATTGATTTTCCATGGGTTTGTATTTGCCAAAAAATTTTTTTCCTACTTCTCCTTTTTAGTGCAATCACTGCTTATTTTTTTAATTAATATTTGCCACCATCAATAAATAATAATAATAAGGAAATGAAGAAACAAAATTTCCACTCCACTGCTGAATCGGGCAGAAACTAACATGGCTGTGAGGAATCAAAGCACAAGTACCTTCAACAGCTAAGGAAACAGCATTGTTGGGCAGAGCAATTATTTATCAAGCACCTTCTCCCCACTCCTTCACAAATCTGCTCCAGAGTATAGGAACAGTCCATCAGATGGATTCTAGCTATGGTAATACCAAACCCTGAAGACAGTAATTAATTCCTACATGTCTTTCAGTAACAGCAACTGCTCACGATCCCTGCCTCAAAGCAGGCAGACATGACTGCCAACATCCCTTTCCCATGGGAACCACATCAGTCCTTGTCTGCTGCCATTTCCAAGACTGCCTATTGGAAAATGAGAAAGCAAGCTGCGCAGGATACCACTGTCTTCAAATAAAGACATGAAAAAAGTCGGGGAAAAGAGTTTACACTTGGAGTTGTTAGGAATTAGATCTCCTAGAATAATTCCGCTGAATTCTGCAATTCCTCCCACAGAAAAGCCCCAAGGTCAGACCTACA